CGCTGACATGTGTTTTACACACTTTTACTTCTGCAAGGGTGTTTGTGAGGGGAATTTTCTTGGAAAGAGGATATGTGAGCACACGACAATGCCATATGCTGACTTTTGAAATTTGAGTTGCAGTACTTAAGGCTGCATTAAGGTGCACATAATTCGTCCTATAGTCCATGCAGCTTAGGGAGCGGGATGGCTTTAGATGGGCTCTGACATGAGTAAAGCGGCAATGTGTGGTAGTCTGGGCTGCACACCTTCATGGTGATGAATGTGTTTTGGCTGCTATCCATGGCGCATGTTTGGGTAAAGTGCCTCCACATTCTGGACCAAATGGATTGAGTTAAAACCCAAGACCTAGGACTGCTATGCAGAAAGGAATGTTCTTACCTTCAGGTATTAATCTGGACCTGACGTTACACAGGGTGCTTTGTCTGCAAAAGAAGTCCACAGTCTGCAGTCTGTGCTGAAATTGTTTTTCCAAGAATCTAGACAATGATGGAAGTACAACATTTGGATTGATATAATCTCATTTATTTCACATATAGCTGGAGGCATACAGCATCTGTAACCAATAAAATCAGGGAATCACATTGAACTTCCTGTTTCTCAGTGGGTTTGCAGGAAAAACAGTAATAGTAATCGTGTTTATATTTCTTATTTGTTTATAGACTGAAGATCGGTTCTTTGGTATTGCCTAGTTTGCACAAGACTCTTAAAGCAAATCCTTTTGTTCTGATATTTTAGTGTGCTAGGAGAATCGGAATGAACATAATGGCAAAATTCTTGTGGTTTACAGAAATGTATTTAGGAATCTCTGTTGCTAAATTCATTAATACGATTTTTTTTTGTTTTGCTTGATATTTCTGTAAGGAAAACCTAAGTGAAACTTTATCTGGCTGCATGTGAGAGGTCTTAGCATAATCTATATCTTTCTCACTTGGGTTTGCTGCTTTCTTTGCTCAGGTGGACAGGGATGCAAACTGCACACACCGGAATCTGAAAACCATCCCTAGAGAGCTACCTCCTGGCATTTACAAGTTGGACCTTTCATACAACCTTCTCGAGAACCTTACGCAAGAACTCATGTCCTCCTACACCTCAGTTCACCACCTCAATCTCCACTCAAACAAGATTCAGTTCATTCAGCCAGGCCTTTTCAAAAACATGACAAATCTTCAGGTTCTGGATCTTTCCCGAAATGATTTATATATCATTGCTTTGTCAAAGACTTCAGTTGGGCCTCTCTCCTCTGTGAGAAAACTAGATCTTATAGGCAATGGCTTGTACACAGGCATGACTGATTATTTCTTGGAGGATGCCCCAGCACTTCTGAACCTTTCACTTGAGGGTAACAGCATCACCAAAATCACCAACAACACCTTTTTCAGATCAAAATCTCTGAGGAACATTGATCTTCACAACAATGTCATCCTTGAGATTGAGGGAGGAGCATTTAACTCGATGCCACATCTCTCTGAGCTTGATCTGTCCATGAACTCTATCACTTGTATCACTGACTTTAACCTTTTGCAGCTAAAGACGTTAAACCTGAGTCAAAACAGCATGGAGTCATTTCAGACTAGGGACTGGGATCGCGAGTATGAACTTTTGTATCTTGACCTTAGGGAAAACAAAATGCATTACTTTCCCTTTCTCCCAAGAAGAAACAAGCTAATACATCTTGATTTATCCAGAAACCTTCTGACAGGCGTTAACACTATGCTCACTACAGAGCAGACAGAGTTCATGATCAATGATGAAAGTAGATTCACAGATTACACTGAAAATGTATATAATAATCTAACAAAACTCCGATACCTAGACTTAAGTTACAATCAAATTAAACGTATCCCATCATCATTTTTCAACAACATGGCATCCCTGGAGATGTTAAATCTAAGTAACAACTGTATGGAGGCATTCTACATTGACCAAGATAGTCCTTTAAATTCCCTGAAGATCCTCGATTTGAGTTTTAATGCCCTGCAGAATCTCTCCTTTGGAGAAAACACGCTCCAGTCCTTAGAGGAGCTCTATCTGCAGGCCAACTCACTCAGTGTCAAGGATTCCTACATTTTCCGCAGACTTCCCAGCATTAGAGACCTTCACCTTCAAGAGAACCTCCTAAAAATCTGTGATCTTCCCCCAAGAAGGCAGAATTTGGAGGAAAGTGATTGCATTATTTTATCCAACATCTCAACTCTGCATTACTTATATCTGACCAGAAACAGCCTGCAATCTTTACCCCAGTATGCTTTCTCTGGAAGTGGATTGAAGGTCCTGGATTTATCCTATAATGCAGGTATAAAAATTGACAAGAACGCTTTAGTTGGCTTGGAAACATCATTGACTTACCTGTCCCTTAGGGGGAACCAGCTTCACATGCTAAACTATGACTTGTCTTGCTTGAGTTGCCTCCAGAATTTGGATGTGTCCGCTAATAACCTGACTGCTCTCCCAGTATGGAACAAAGAGTCTTCCATTGAGTCTCTAAACCTTCAGAATAATAGTCTCATCACACTGGAGTACAACACAGTGCAGATGCTGGGGAAAACGCTGAAAAAACTCTATCTTGGATCCAACCCTCTGAGCTGCTGTAACAGCCTGAGGTTCCTGCAGATGGTCCAGAAATCCACTGTGGACATCCCTGACATTGCTACTGCAATGTGTCAATACACCCAGGACTCCAAACACATTGAGATAAACATTGCAAGATTATCACAGAAACACTGTGCGACAATGGACCAAAAAAACGTGTACATCATCATCATCATTATCACCATGTCTCTGATTTTGGTGGCAGTCCTGGTTCTCCTGTCCAGAATATGCCACACTCGGGCATACCGCCTAAGAGGAAGTTATAAGGCATGATAAACCATTCTAGAAATAGGAAAAAGTACCACATGCTAGACTAAATCGAGTATTCCTACATGAAGTGCTCAGTGTGGGTAGACCATTGGTAAAATTTATTTGAATTTAACTATTGCATCGTCAATTGCAAAAAAAGTATTATTACTTGATTTGCAGGAAATAACTTAGATATACAGTTATGCTTTGCAATCAAAATTATTATTTCAAAAAAGCAATATATTTTTTGGTTGGATTACATCATTATAGTCTTATTTTTGATAAAGTAGGTCAATATTTTGCACTTTAATAATTATAACAACTATGCTTGTGTTTTATGGATTGTAGGTATATGATATTGTGACAACTTGTCATATAGGCCATCTGTCATACTATGGTAAGACTTTCAGATAGATGTCACATCGCAAGCAATAAAATGACAACACAACAGAAATGAAAAGGCTTGAAACATAGCCCACATATGCAAATATATAGTGTATTTTCACCGTTGTGTAATTCCTGTGGAACAGCAACAGTGAGTATTATTTTGTCATCTATTTACAGAAAAATGTGTCACAGCATGAGCTATGGTCAGGCCAAAACAGGAAGGTGTCGCTGTCAGGACACCTGTGTAAAAATGTGACGTTTTCACAGTACTGGCATCCTGTTCAGGGCGTAGAGCCCTGTGCTGCCTGGGGAAGACGGCAGCCTCCCCTCTGCCCCAGCAGCTGGAAGATGGATGGATGTTTTCACAGCTTGTACTGCCCTGTGGATAGTTTTCCTGTTGTTGTCCAAGCATTATGGACTCATTTAGCCGAAGTCTGTGCTAAATGACCGTGTGCGATTCAAAGTGTGCATTCCAGGAATGCGGATTTCCTGATGCAGACTTGTATCACATTTACCCGCAGTTTTGAGGTTAGCCTTTTCCTTACATGAAAGTGCCGTGAATCATCTGGCAAGGCAGGGTTTTGATCAATTAAATGATTCCAGAGATTAGTAAGCTTAAAAAAGAAGGGATAGACAGTGTTCTCTTTTTCCCAAAGCAAGTTGGCACTTCATGGTGCTTATTTCTACACATTTAAACTGTGTTAGGAGAATAAATGAGCATTGTAAGAACAAAGTGTACTCTCTGTTCTATTGTGGGGAATTTACCTGGCATGCGTAGTCGCTGTCTGAGTAAACCACAGCCAGAGTAAAGGCATTCAGGTTTATAGGTGTGATCTGCTTCATATCACTCAAACTCCAGAGTAACAAAACAGTCATTGCTAATCAGCAAAAAGAATGCATTTTCCCCAAAATGCCTCTTTTGCTTCATTAGTTGTTCCTCTTCTTGGGTGGTTTGCATTTTAGGGATGATTTGTACGACTGATTATCAACACGATGTATTGACATGGATATCGATGTGCTTTAAACCCTGTTTAGATCCCAACCCTTGCTGTAACTCTTTCAACTGTCAAAGCATCCAATTTTCAAGAAATAATGTTTTAAACATTTTTCAGTTATATTTGCATACCTGCAGAACTGATAATGGAAATATGATACGGTATTGCCATGCTCGGGATATATTAATGAAAAATGGGCTCAAAGAATGTTAGTGGAAATTATCTAGAGGTGTTACTAAGTTCAGATGAACAGAGATTCCTTTAGAAGGAGTGTCTCCCTTTCTTGTAGATATTAATAGGCATTTATTTGAGAAACGAAAAAAAAAAAAAGCCAGTGCACTTTGATATTTTAATGTTTCACAGTATACAGTATCTGATGCTCAGCTGTCTGACTGGATCACTAAAAAAGAATATTCAATAGTAATCAATATAATTACACACCTGCACCATGTGAGAACCTGCTTTCATTGTCTGCCTTTGCTTGTATGTTCTGGTTTAATCCGTAACTATATGAAGGATGTGTTATCATGGAAATGTATGTTTTAGAGTAAAATATATTCTGTTTATATATTTATATGTTTTGTACTTTTTCTTAAGTAAATTATCCCTCTATCCAAGCACTGGTCTGCTGTTTTGACTTGTGGGGTTTTTGAATGGGTAGAACAAACAATAATAGCCTCTAAGTACTAGTAAACAATTTTCGTGCCACAGACAAGAAGACGACAACTTTGTCCCACTGTGTTTCCCATGTGTCTTTGGCAAGATGCTTAATAATAGCCTCCCTATGAGAGCAGTCAATAAAGCGGTCTCTGAAGATAAGGCCTTCGATGGCCTTGCATTTTCTCCTGGACATGGGCTGTATGCTATAAGACAGAGTAGAGTCTAAGAAAAAAAAGCTGCCTCTATTTTTATAACCAAAAGCTTGGGATATGCTGGGCTGGCAAAGATACAACAAAACCATTCTGACAACCGAAAACAGGATGCAGATTTGCAGGAAGGACCCCAGAACACATCGAATCTTCGGGTAAGGTAAGGGCTGACGCACATCAGACCAGCGAGATGAACGAGTTCAATATTTCAGTAAAAATAATATTTTTTTTGGCACGGAAACCAAGTAACAGTCTTCACACTCAGGCACCCTTTGCTTCATGAAGTGAAATGAATTTTCCCAAAGTGATTACAGAAATTTGTAAGCCTGGTATGTGCTGATTGCGTTTATTTATGGAAAGATGTGAAAATTGCAAGAAACATGCAGACAACCACACGTAAAAAAGTGTGTTATTGTCTATGAGGAATCAGCACAATGACCCTCTTCATGACTGGCAGCATGTCTGTCTTACAAGAAATTTCCAAGGCAACAAGATATTTCAAACGAAAGATTAAAAGAAACTTGACACCATTCACAATCAAAAATACAGATTCCAACGCTGTGACATTTTTATGAAGGTTTCAAAGTAATCATCATTCCTTCAGTAGCTAATTCAGGAACAACTTTCTCTTCTACATGTTAAGGATTTTCTAATAGAATTAGAAACAGATCAACTATTAATTAGAATACTCTGGGAAGCTATAGAACAGTTTTTTCCCCACAAAGTTTCTGCCTAATTCTAAAACAAACATGGAAAACAAGTCATTACAACAATTATAACAGTGTATTTTATGAAGCAATAGAAGCCCCACACTTAATTAAACCAGTTCCAGTGAATGCTGCACTCACTGTACAGGAGTAATATTTCTAGTTTTAACAGTTTTAATGATTAATGTAGACTGGGAAAGTGTCAGGTTGTTTTTAAAATTATGTCATAGTTTAGAAATACTGCTATGAATAAACGCAAAAGGTACAGTAGGCGTCTTTTAAGGCTGTCCAAGTGAACATTCTCAGGGCTTTACTCTATGTCCACAAATGGAAAACGAAATAGGCTGTTCTCAGAAAAACCTTCATCAGAGGAGTGAGTGTGTGTGTGTGGGGGGGGCAGTCAGTCACTACTCAGCCTCACTCCGTCGCCTATGCACTCCCCAGGGAGCGGGGGTTTTTACGGGCTAGTTTAACATGTTGAAGGACTTGGGTTTAGCCTACGTGATTCACAGGCCCTTCATGAACCCGGTTGCCGCGGGAACCTACTGTCCGAAGAGGCGGCTGGCAGAAGCACCAATAGAAAAACTGGACACTCAGAGGAAATGCCTAGATGTCTAGGTCATGGATGAAGAAGCCCCCCCCAGCCGACTTTGTCAAAGCCCATCTCGTGTTAGTAATGTGCTTAATCAAAACATTAAGGCCACATAAATGTTAATGTTTCACTGATGGAAACCAGAGTTTGGAAATGTGGGGTATGTAAATCATGACAGATCTCTGGTCCTATACATTAGTGGCCAAAATTGTGGAAACACTTCCAATTTTCAGAACTTCACTCAACTGTTGCTCCAGTTACTTATTTAATCATTTAGTGTATGATATTACAAATATACATTGAATAATTAAACAAGCAACGAGAAACAGTTGAATAATGCAATATCTAAAAATTGGAAGTGTTTCTACAATTTTGGCCACTAACGTATGTGTGATGGCATCTCCTTTCAGCTTCGATTCGGAGCGACAGAGGCCATTCAGTGTCTGGCAGAAGTTCGACTCAGAGGACCATATCTTAGAGGAAGCCAGAGATGGAGGTTTGAGATAAGACTAAATTGATGTTTTAAAAATTGCTGTGTGGTTAAGTAGCTGCTAATTATTGCAAAAAGTACGATGAGTAAGAAAACCCATGATTTGTGGTTCTCCTGGCTGAACCCAAGTATGACCACACAAAGTAAGTTTTAATAAAACCACAACCCAAGGCGGAGCAATCTCTGCAAGCATACAGCAGAATCTGTGAGCTCTAGTCCATGAACCCACATCCTTCTAGTCTAAAAGCCCAAAACATCGTACAAAATGAGCTGACGGCTCCCCGCGATGAGCACATCAGAAAGAATCAGAGCAAAGGAGAAACAAGCCTAAAGAGCTCCAGGTCTTGCAGAAGCACGTTTTTTATTACAGTTTTTTCATTTTAATTAACTACAGTGGGCCCCTTCCACCCAACACCAGCAGCCGGAGTTGAGAAAAAGCAGATCTCAGTACCTTGATTTGATTTAACATTCTGGTTCTATGTTAAGGGCCTTGATCAGCACTCTACATGTTGTCTGTAATCAGAATTAACCATAAAATATAAGCTTTTAGGGCATCCCTGGCTTCTATAGATGGTGCTTTAAAAATTGACCAACAGAGATATTTCTATTGATAACCTTGATAACCAAATGCAGTATACATACTCTGCTCTAATAAAGCATTTTCCTTTCCTTGATCTAGCACCAACAGTAAACAGTGACGGATACTAATTACTAAACATAAGCTATAGCCTTGAATAAATCTTTCACTAGCTGATCAGTGCATGCAATACAAACACGTTTATTATGATTTGTGAGTAGGAAACCGCCACTGCAAAAACGGAACACTCACTTTAATCCCATTTCCTTTAATGTTATAGAAAGAAGCAGCAAACCGTAATCCATCGACCTCCCAAATCCTTATCCAGTCCTTGGTCAGGGGTGAGGTGGTGTCACGCCCTGACCAGGGAAGCAGAGGATCAAGGAAAATGCGGGGTTTAATGGGAGCGAACATGAAGGAACAGGCAACAAAGCAGATTGACATCACAATGACCGGACTGGGGAAACAAACGGAAACGCAGACTAAATACCATGGACTAATGACAATGATCAGGAACAGCTGGTAAACACGGGGAATCCACACAGGGTTAATGAGGGGGTGTGGCAAACGGAGGGAGCGGACGATTGGGGCATGACAGGTGGATTGGAACCGATCACAGGCAGCACAGGGCAGAGGAACACCCACAATAAGATGCCACTACAACATGCAGCAGGCCTTATAGGCAATTTACATCACTGGATGTTTTAGGATTATGGGAGGAAATCTGCACGATACAGGAAGAACTTGCAAGCTTCTCACACTCACAGCAGATGTGGATTTGGAACCCCCAGCCCCCGTGGGGTGAGGCAACATCCCAGAACCACAATACCCCCCCCCCCCCATAGCAGATTATAACACAAAATAACAGAAGGCATTACAATTGAGGCAGACTGTATAAAACACACTCTGTGTGTGTGGAGCATGCATTCTCCCCCTGTATTTCCTCTCCAACTACTCAGATTTCCAGAGGTGGAAAGTTCAGGTTCAGAAAGTACAAATCCAGACCAAGATTTTATTTCAACCAACCAGCCAAGCATAAAGAGTCACAGCCACAGAGTACTCAACTGGTTGGTTGAAACAAACTCTTGGTCTGGATTCATACTTTCTGAACCTGAACTTTCCACCTCTGTCAATTTCATCCAGCAGTCCAAAGACAGACAGTGAGGCTAATCGGTGTCTTTAAATTGCCTGTGTATGTGAATGTGCGCGTGTTTGTGCTCTGTGATGGCCTGGCATCCCTTCTGGGGTGTCCCCCTTTCATGCTACTATTTCTACCAGGGAAATTACCAGTGAATAAACCAAATTCAGTGAAAGAAACCCTTTAAAATCTACACCCAGCGCCCTACTGAGACACAGCTGTAAAAGAATACTGTATTGATTGTAAGCGACTCGGTATTGAGTGTGTAAGATGTGGTTAGCGTCACTGCTTTTCGCATAGGGCATTCGGTTTGAGGCTTACCAGGGACTGACCCTGGGGACAACACTACATTACTGAAGGAATATCCTGATGGTTAAAGACGTCTGTGCGACTACCGACACAGGAACCAACATTTGCAATATGTAGTAAATTCAGCATTAGGCACCTGCCAGACTTTTGTAAAAGAATCTCTGCTTTGGCTGCAGATTTATTGTACCTGACAAACCTCCTATTATTTGTAATAGTCTATTACTCTTAATTTAGACTCTAAAGCTCATTATGCGAATGCAGCTTGCTTCCCCAGAAGCCTGCTAAGGGTTAATATCCAGTTAGCTGATCGCTCCCAAGAGGAACTTTCTCTCTGTGCTGCTGGAGAAAATGCTAATTGAAATATGGGCCAGAAGATGTTACACCCCCGGCGCCAGCTGCTGGAGTTCTTTTTTCTTTTCTTCCCCCCCCCCCCCCCCTGCTTTTTATGGTATTTCAAGTCTCATAATTTTGAACAGAGACTGTCTGCTGACATTTCGTTTTCCCAAACAAATGGGCCAAACGATAATCAAACAGAACGAACACATAAGAGTCACTAACACAGCAATGGTCGTTTTTCTTGGGAGTAAAGTAAAGCCAAACAACATATTTAATAGTGCATGAAAATACCCAGCAGTAAATCATTGTGCAATAAAAAAAAAATTCAATAATGTCTCTGTCCTTTTTAGACCTGTCCTATCTGAGTGCAAGTAAGAATGATAATACTCTAAAAATAATATTCACTTGTCTATTTTACTCTCTAATCTACATTCGGTTTTATTCATTATAAATTATCGGCGCGCCGCCCGCCCACAGTCTCCTGCCCGCCTCGCAGACGCTCCGGCATCGACATGTTCTCAGACCAAACATCAAGTTGCTCGTAGTACCAATCTTCATTTTAGCGATTACTTAATATTATTAGTATTACTTAATCATCCAACATCTCAGCCAACCCTGATTTTTCAAAATTATATATCTAATCGACTGACTGTCTAGAAATACTGATACTAAGAAATTAAACAGGAGCATGAGAATGGATCCAGGCATGTGACGTCGAGGTTTCACGTCCCCTCACAGTGTTGCAAAGGTTAGTCTGTCTGGCCCCTTACTTCCCCATCGCCTTTACGGCTGCCAGGGTAAACAGGCGGCGGATCGGCGCGCCGCCCGCCCACAGTCTCCTGCCCGCCTCGCAGACGCTCCGGCATCGACATGTTCTCAGACCAAACATCAAGTTGCTCGTAGTACCAATCTTCATTTTAGCGATTAATATAGAATATAGCAAAGGAGACAGAAGTGGCAAACCAGACACGTGCCTGTATGCTTATCTGCAGTAGTTTATGGCTGTTTACTTATTATTAATAGTTAATTGCAGTATTTACCCCAGTAAAACGAGTGATCCTTCAGCTGGATTTACAAGTTTTTTAACGTACTTATACGTCCATTTATTTTCCTAATTCTAAAAAAACGCACACGTATTTTCGTCGCAGTACCGTTATGCGTCACATCTGGTTAAGCATTTAGACGTACGTAATTAATATGATTCAATCTGGAACATTTGGCGCTGTTTTTTCCGCTTTAATATAACGACAGGCTTAAAATTGAAGCTTATTTTTATTTTGTAATGTTACGTTAGCTTAGACGCGGCAATGGTAGAAAATGTCTATTTTGGAATAGCTGGTAACTGGAAACTGTGGGTGGACTCTCAAAATGCATAACAATTAACCGTTACGTCAATTCAACAATAACAACAACAACAAAATGACCTGGAACTTGAACAGAAAAACTTTAGAAATATTACATTAGAAATAATATTATATTAGAAATATTATTTGTTATTATTTTAAAATATTACAACTTCGTGTACTATAATTATTTATGGATTACTTCATATTTAAAGCAGGAGAATTATCCCCATTTTCCTCAGAACCTGAGTGAGTCGTCTTGCAGTTAAATAGTGTTACAGAGTTTACAAGCACAAGTGGAATCAATTAGGCGGCTGCTTCCCACAGCCAGTTGATTTATGTTACTTCCATGACATGACGCGACCTCCAGAGGCTCAGACGAGGCGTACATACAATACAGAGCTCTGGTGTCTAGCCGTCAGCCCGAGGAACACATTTTATTCAAGACACCCTGTTTTGACAGGTGTCCGATGCTAAGCCCACTTTGAATATTCCATTGGACCAGGAATGAATTACAAGCATTCATCAATATAGATATCAGGGGACAGCACACAAATTTCCCAACCCTCGCTGCAAGATGCTGACAAAGTACAATACAATATTACAAAAAAATGATTAATGATTCATCAACGTCAGACATGATTGTTGCTTTTGGCGGCAGCAAGAATTCCTTAGAACCAGAAATTCATTTGCACTGATATAGAAATTGCCCAGTGTACCTTCAGAAATCGTATCCATACAGTATCTGAGGACAGAGAGATACTACAGTAACTCCTACGCCACCAAATACTAAACAGAGCAGCTTTAACTTGTACTTAAAGGGTTTGAGTGGTGCAACCAGACCTCCTTTACAGTCCGACCGCCTATTTCCATCGTGTTCTGACAGGTTGCGTAAGAAACCATCCCCAAAGACCTTGACCTGACGCTTTTCCCATCTGTGAGCATCGCCCAAGGAGTAGGAGGCTTTTGGACCACCGGCAAAACTCCCGTGAACTCTCCCACAATAAGAATTATTTATATTAAAAAGCACCCTATACATTAGAAACAAAACAATCCAGTTGTGACTGTAAAGTAATTTATACGACATATTTTTTACTAGCTTGAGCAAGCAAAAAATTTATCTAAACGCAGAGAAAATCTTGTGTCTGGAAATTGAGGCTGTTTTTGGATCGTTCGCCCATTTAAAGGAGGGAAACTCGGCAGAGGATAAAATAAAAAAAAAACAGCTCCCACCAGACCGAAAAGCAGATGTTGTTGATAACTGCATGCCACTCCACCTAAAAGCTTAATTTCCTCTGACTCTCGTTCCCTTCGTGCGCACGTCTGTGACGTGGCCAGCGATAAGAGCTGAGAGGGTGGGCCGTCTGCTCCCCTGACCCCATGGACCCAGAGTGGAACTCGTTGTACCTCTGCTTCCCCATCATATGAGTGATAAGGTACAGCTTTCGCCTGTGACTCAGTGCCGCTTCACAGCTTACTCTGCTCACGGTGACAGCGGAGTATCCTGAACCTGAACTGGCCAGAAATCTCTTCAAAGAAGCCCTGCACATTGCACATTGGCTATTTAGCTCTGCACATACTTAAAATAATTACCAAGACTAAGCAGAAAATATATTCAGACTGATGGACATGAGCTGTTGGAATCTTAAGCGTCCAGATTCCCAGTCGCTAGACTTTTTGAAAAACACAGGGAAATAGTTCCTGAAGTCTGACTTTCTGAAACCAAGTGTGTTTATTAAATTTAAAAAAAGTACACTGAGAACAATGGACAATAGCCAGTCCCCTCGAGGCGAAAAATAAACAATCTGTCCTACGTTTTAGCACAATAAAAATGTCTCTTTGTTTACAGATGTCTGCTGGCTTTATTGTTCAAATTAAAAAGAATTAATAGCACCAGAATATGCTGTTTAAATAGATTCTACTGAAATTCTATATCTGTTTGTGAATAAGCTGTGAAAATGTCTGACTCAATGTATTCAGGCTGCTTAAGGCCTTAAGATTAACTTATAATCGGGCACATTTGTATGACTGTTTTTGTATGAAAGAATGTTTACTGGGTTCTTGCCAACATGGTAATTGCTACAATGTTGTAGTAACATTGTTACGATCTGTTTTTACATGGCACGCATTGTTTAATGTCTTGGTAGTGATTGGTTTATATACAAAAATGGGTAAGTGAGTGCACTTGTGGCGATGGGTTAGTGTTTCAGATGCCATATCTTGACACCGTTTCTGAACCATGTGGTGTTTACCTTACGCCCATTGGGAGTAACAGAACCGACCCAGTGAATTTCCTGTGTCTTTCCCCCCCAACCCGTCAGACCAGACAGATGAACTAAAACAAGGGAGTAGTCCATTCACCCTCTCAGAATACGCAATCCTAAAGTCTGAGTCTGGTGTGTGAGTCGTGGGTGGAATGCAGAGGCTGGGGTAATGGAACACGGAGCCACGCACACACGCACACACGCACTTGTGCTCCCCAGACGTGAAACAGACTGGCTTCTGCGGCCTGCGTCATCATCACTCATGGGTGCCTATCTCTTCCCATCATGCACGCAGTGCAGGATCCGCCTTTTCTCCTGGTAGTTTGCCCGGGCCCATGGTCTGTGCCTCAGACCGCCCAGGGAAAGAACAAACATTCATTAGTATACATATGGGGCCTGATGTGACCCCCCTGTTTCAACACCAGCTCCCCCATTGGTGGATGAATTTTTCCACTGCTT